ATTTTTTTTGGGTGTAAAAAAAAAAAATTTTACTTTTCCCCCCCCCCCCCCCCCCCCCCCCCAAAAAAAAAAAAATGCATTAAAGCTTGTGGTTGCTATGTTGAGAAGAAGTGAACAGGTTCCAGGGGTGCTCATACTCTAGCAGGGCAGTTGGCAGCATCTGTTTTTTATTTGGCGAGGGGAGAAAAGATGTAAGGCTGTTTGAAGTCGGCACAGTGCAGGTGAGGTCATTTTCCACTTGTGAAAGGAAGGACTGCCTTGGTGTGTTTTAGCTGCTCACATCTGGCTGGGTCTAAATATGAAGCAGACTTATATCATGGCCATACCTGATCTCCAATCTCTCTTGGTGTGGTCTGTTTCGCTGCGTGCGTTCAGGAATTAGCCCAAACCTGCGGGCTTCTGGGAAAGTTAAACTAGTTACCGGTGAAGGATTTACATGATTGATTCGTATGTCCTTGACAGCGTCCGGAAGGAGAGGAAGAGGAGGAGAAGGAGGAGGAGAACATGATTGATTCTGAAGGGGATCAGATGGTTTAACTTTTCCACACTCATCTTTTCTGCAGTCTCCTCAGCGGGCGTCGGATGCAGCGCCCCAGTTGGCTCCCTACCCGTCCCACAGTCTGCACAGACTCCCCCAGTGCCCTCCAGTTCACCTCAGCCACCCGGTCCCTCTGTCTCTCACGTTGTCCCTCACCCCTGGGCCCAGACAGCCGAGGCCCCCGGCGCCTCCGCCCCACCGGGCCCCTCTGCCTCACACCCACGTGGCACCGAGGGCGACGTCGTTTCGCAGCGTGTCACACCACAACTCCTGCAGGATGGTCATGGTGAGTGAATTTCCTGCTTGCTCAGTCGGAAACATTTGGTGCCATAATGTTACCGTAGCTTCCCTGCTGCATCTGGAGTGCTCGTACCCCGGTAACACCTGGCCAGGGGAAACGATGGCGTTTCGATGTCGGTTGTTTTCACGGCGCTTTTGTGTCCTACAATAGCAGCGGCTTGTTAACGGCTACGAGCAGTCTAAGAAAAATAAAGAACGTCGATCCTGCTACACGAAAACCGCCACGTATATTATAAGAAATGGAGCCAGACGTTGCTGCGAAGGAGGGAGCAAATCTGACAGAAAATATCAGAGGGTTGTAAACCTGCTGCTGCAGCCATTCTAGGGAGTTTAGTGTTTTGCCTCTCAGGCTGGAAGAGAAAGTTGTTGATTCCTGGAGTTCAGTCTCAACAAAAAAAAATTCTTCTTCTCCAACTACCTAGTTTACGACGCTTTGCAAAGGCGCTCGTGCCACTTGAACTTCCACATTTTTCATGGCACAGTCACAAACTTTAATGTATGTTATTGTGATAAACCAACACATTGGAGCGTAACTGGAAAGAGGAATAAAAAAACCAAAAACAATACGGCATGGTGTGCAGATTCTGAGAACCCTTGCATTAGACCAAAGGACCCTCTTCTACATGTTGGCTTAATATTACTTTTACACTATTTTATTTTGGGGTATCAGGGCAAAATGGGCAGAGTTCTCAGTAATGCACTACATTGTCTCAGTCTATATCACAAAATCCCAGTGAAACGCATTTAATTTTGTGACAAGATCTGAAAATGATGATGAGCATAAGTGCTTTTGAAAGGCCCTGAACATTCCTAACTTTTCTACTACATTTTAACTGGATCTGTTTTATTTTTTCTTACCTTTTTGTACCTTGTTGAAAATTTGTCTATTAGGGACAGTGAATAATAACTATTCAAGTAATTTAAGCTGCAGTAATTGGTGTTTGAGCTCTAGAAAATTGTTTTTCTGTCCACATGTAAGAATTTTTTTTTTTTTGTCAAGCTGTCGAGGATAATTAGCTTTTCACTTCCTAAAATTGCATAGAAATGTATTTTTTGATGATTTCCATTCACCAGCCAAGGCTCAGTTCCCAGGAGTTCAGTTCAGCTGAGATGAAAAAGTGTCATAATTTTTTTTTTTTTCTCCTGCTAATTTGCTCACAAAATAAGAAATTTTCAGGTCTCGGGAGGAAAGCAGGAAAATCGACGGGCTTTTTTTTTTTTTTGTGAATTTGTTTCGGGCCAAAAAAGTTTCACCTTATTGCTCAAAACTACATTTACACATGGAATTGTCACATACTAGCTTCAAAATGCTTTTTCAGCTGTCTTTAATCAAAATCCTGGTCCTTGGAGATGAAAACAAGCATTTCATGTAAGATGAAAATCTTCCATTAATGAATGTAATATTGAGATCATAGACCCAGATCATAGCATCACAATATTTAACAATGGGGATAATGATGTTCTAACGCATATGTCTCATTTTTGCCTCAGAAACTAAAGATTGTCTCTAATGGATGCTATGGACTTGTTCACCCAAAGATCACTTGCTTTCTTAGTTTCCTCCAAGACAAACTTGAGTTGTCCACCATTTTGTTTATTTATTCAAACTGCAACCAAGAAGTGGAAAATGAGGGTCTTTATTGAAACTAAGCCACAGTCAGGTAGACCAAACATTACATTTCACAGTCGTAAGTGCCAGGAAAATTGTTCAGAGTCAAAAAAAAAAAAAAGGGAAAAAATAGAAAAGGGTGAAACAATGTATACATAAATTCCGTTGACATATAATCCTGCAGACTTAATGATATTCCAACTGGAGAGTTATCCAAAACACAAGGAAAAGTTGACCTGTTGTTGGTCACAGCTGGAAAAAGAAAAAGAAAAAAAACCCCGGCAGGAACGGAAGTGTCGTTGTCAGTATCCTGATGACAGTATTAATTTGTCAGTTGTCCATCTCACATTTGCAGTTCATGAAAGATAGACTGAGAATTTACAGGAACATCTGGCTTGATGCCAAGAAGAATAAAGCACTGCACCGTCTGAGAAAATAGTGTCTCGTCCAAAACTGCCAAAAAAAACATGTTTGCTGTTCTTGACAACACGTTAAGAGCTCACGTAAGCTTTTGACCAGGGTGATTCTGGTATCTTCTCTTAATGGTACGCTTTGAAAAGTTACTTGCCAACAACCGAGTGACAGAAACGTTTTTTCGTTTCGTCATTCATATTCTCTAAAAAAAAAAATTGACAAAGATCTGCAATTCTGTCAGCGTATGTCAACTGATACCCACGACTTCATTTTCTTCTAATCATTTCCTGTCTTCCTTAAAGAAATTAAAAACCTGAATAACATAAATAAGTCTCACCACTGACTCAATGACGCCAAACATTCTTTGTCACCGCTGTTGAGAGTGGTAACTGCATTTTCTTTAGCGCTTATTGAAAGGCAAATTTAAATTAAGGCTTTTTCTCTTTTTTTTTTACACATTTCTTTTGCAGATCGGTGTTGTCATTAAATGCAGTTCACATTCACTCGTTTGCATTGCTTTACGCCACGGCGCCGCTTTCATTTCTGTGTCCGTTTTACAACGTCGGCGTTTAGTTTTTACACAGCTTCTCGGTTTCCTCACACCTGTTCAGCAGGTGCCGTGCAGCAGCTCTTTGGCAGGATTTTGCATTTCGGAAGTAGAACCCCCCTCAGCTGCTCCTCGTTGATGTCAAAACGTGAAAGCAATTCCTTTTGGCAGAAGACTTTCCCTGACAGTATCTTTGGCAGCTGTTCGGCAGCTCCAGCATGTTGACAGAAGACATAAAACACTAGTGAAAGCTCTCTGCTGGGGGGCACCAAGGCTCTGCTTCCACACATGATTTCTGCAGTTTGGGGTCAGCTGCGTTTTGCTGAGGCTGCAGAAGAATTTGCAGGCACCTAATCACTTTATCAGAGTCGCTCATTTCACTTAACAGCAATTCATTTGGTTGTTGGCAGTTGAAAAATATTTTTGGACGGAGCTCAAGCGAAGCTGGCCCCGTTTGCTGCGTTTGGAGGATTTGCTGTCTGTGTGGAGCGTTGAGCCATCGTTGTCGTTGGCGAAGCCAAGGAGAAGACGCATGGAAGTCTGCTAAGATCCTGACCTCAGTTTTTCCAAAAAAGATTTAAACCACATGATGCCTCCTCTCATCATATGTTGCCTGATAAGTGTGCCAAGGTGTCTGAAAAGGAGAGGAGGAGAAAGAAATAAAAATTTAAAAAAAATCACACATGCCGTAATCATCTGTTTGAGTGCCCTCTGGTGGCAGTCCTCAGCTGTTGTTTTCTGTTTTTCCTCGAGCAGGAGCTCGAGAAGCCTAGCCCCCCTCAGAAACCTCTGCCCGCCGACCCGAGGACCTCCCGGCTGGCGCGGAGTCCATCTGGTGTCCAGAGCAGCACTTTAGTCCGAGGGTCCTCTGCAGTGCGCGGCCCTGCAGCGACACCCGGTGCCTCCAGACCTGCACGCCCCGTACCACACCCCAACAAGTGAGCAGCTTTCCTTCACCATCCACACCTCAACTCATTACGGATGTGAATTTCGTAATACTATAGAGCTTTTAATAATACTTTTTAACCGTTCTTTTTTCCAGGGTTGGATTATACATGTACATATGCGAAAGCACATCTTTTGTTGATAAATCTCGCATATCTCCTTTTCTTTTTCTTTTTTTTCCACCCGTAGGCCAAGTCCCAAGCATCCTCCGACGCTACCAAAGCCTTGCATCATCGCCAACGTCAGATACAGCAGCTGAGACTTTGGCCACAGGGGACAGTTTCTTTCTCTTTTTTTTTTTTTTCTTTTTAACAGAAACAAATTTAAAAAACAAAACTGCACTATGAAAACTCTTGAGAACCCCACATGAAAAAAAAAAAATGACAGAGGCACCTTTGAATTGTGAACCATGAGATTTGCTGTGTCCCTTTTAGTGCTCCGCCTCTGAATGGTGCTACAAGTCTGCGCTCAGGTCGATGTAAAGTATTTATAATTGCGTATTTATTGCCACCCAGTGCACTGTGCCAGACACTTTTACTACAGAGTAACAACTTCGGCTCTTTTTTATCTCACTTTTTTTTTATATTTACACTGATGTATTTTGAAGAAGGAAAAAAAAAAAAAAAAAAAAAGAGGATAAAAAAAATTTTTGGGAAACATTTAAATGGGCGGGGGCTTTTAAAAGTTTTTA